CTCTGTCCCAGGTGTTCTGAGTCAGCCGCTGCTGAAACTGACCAGGGCTGACTCCAGAAAGCCCGGGGCAGAGCAGCTCTGCCTCTGGCTTTCTGGAGTCAGCCGCTGGTCAATTCCCGCAGCGGCTGAATCCGGGACAGCTGGGGTACTGCTGGGTTGGTCCCGCAGCCCCGAGGGGCAGCGCTACTGGACCTACCCGCAGCACTCCAGCTGTTCTGCCCCCTGTTTCCCGGATTCAGCGCTGGTCAGTTTTAGCAGCGGCTGAATCGGGGAAGATGGGGGCAGAGCAGCTCCAATGGTCTGGCTGCCTGGAGCACTTCCGGGTTCCTGATGGTGCCGGACCATCAGGAGTGCTGGACCGTCAGATGCCGCACCATCGGAGTTTTACTGTATATGATGTCGCCTTAAGAAAAATGACTCCTCTGGCCAGTTAAGGAGTGGTGTATTCTGAGGGGAGTTCTTATCTGTCCCCTTCTAGGATGGAGATGGTGGGTGAAATGGGGATGTCTCAGGATGACTCAAGAGACTAATAAAAAGTAAAGGCTCCATAATACACTTGGTGGCTTGTTCCTATCCAGCCCTTAGGATCTGTGTCAATTTCTAGCACAGCGGCCTGCTGGTATGAAAAGTAGGGTTTGCAGTGGCATAGGGTGCCTGAAGTCGGCCTTTTGCCAAGGCAAGGACAAAATTAACCCAGAAGATCTCTGGGGCAAATTCAGTGGAGATGTAAGCTGGCGTAAATGTAATCATCTGACAGTCAGTGTACATTTGAGAGAACAGAATGGATAGGGTTGTACTGGAAAAAAAACACTTAAAAATAGACAGTGCTAGGCAGAGATACTGAGGGTTGAGAGGGCGGGGCGAGGCAGGGCAGGATAGTCCTGGCAGAGATTAAAACTGCTGTATTCAACAGAACTCATGTGAAAGAATGGCAAGGAAAACACTGCCTGCTCCCCATAGGCATGAATCTTCCAAGAATGGAGCAACTATCAGGAGTAGTTTGCTTCAGCATGGATCAGCTGGATATATAGCTAGTCCCAGAAAAAGGAGGGAATCCAAGTTTGGGAGTCCAAGGGCAACGGAGAGGGGAATCTGCAGATGATAGTGCACAAGGGCTAAGTGTGTAAAAAAGGGAGGGGCAAGAACAGGGGTAACTGGGAGATGGGTAGCAGAGGGGGAATAAGATGGGCAAGGACTAATGTGGTGATTAATTTAATAATAACGCTAACATTTTGGAGTCTCCCATCTGTGAAACTATGGGAGATTCCCCAACACTAAAAGCAAAAGTGAAATTAAACGTGTGGTGTGCAATGGAGGTTTCATTTCTTCCTTACTGTTTATTTCTTACATTTCTAAGCTGTGCCAAATTACAGATCTTGGCACATGCTACAGCAATGACTTTGTAATTAACATTTAGCAAATCCCTTTCTGCATTCTTAATTAGACCTCCTTCCACACACACACAGCCTGCATTTCCCTTTACAGCACCAGGCAAAGCTCCCAAATATTTGGAACATCTTAGAATTGCTTTTAGGATTGAGCTGAAAATAGTATCCAAGGTGCCTTATGCCAGAAAGATCAAATGTGATATTTATGGAGACAGTGCTGTCTAGTTTGTAATTGCAGTTGAACTTGATACCCAAAGCTGGTTGCAGATTAGTGTCCTGTTGCGAGGGCAAAGCATTGCCTCCCAGCTGGAGATGTGAATGAGTTCCCTGCGACTGACCGAGTTGCCTTGTCACTTAATTGCTTGGGCTGAATTAAATTGCTCTTCCTGTTTCACATGTGATAGGAAGTAGATTTCTTTGAATTTGAGCTGATTAATGAAGAAACTCTGAAAACCACCAAACTCCAATTTCAGTCAGTTGGTCTCCTTATTAAATGAAAGGATCTAATTTTACACTTTGCTGTTTTCAGATTGATCACCCACTGGCTGAAAATATTGAGCGAGAAGCTTTTCATCTGTCTGCCCGTCTCATTAATGCACCATATCGCAGGACAGTACGAGCCCTAGTCTTCACGTTAAAGCACAAACCTGAAATCCGAGCACAAGTCAAAACTGGTGGACTCCCTGTCAGTGTGCTTGTACAAAACCATAAGAAGTGACTCAGAGTGCCTGGTGCTGAACATCGGATTACTATGCCTATGCCACATATTTGGATTGGGATTCCCTTGTATTTTAAGAGAAGTTCTGGGGCACTGGTACTGTTAATCACGCTGCCTTTCTAAAGACAGGCTATACCAGGAAGATTTTTGGGGCAAATTCTCTAGAGATGTAAGCTGGTGTAAATTAATTATCTGAGAGTCAGTGTAAATTTGAACGAACAGAATGGGTGGGATCATAAAGGGTAAAGCACATAGGCCTCCCCTACCTATGCCTTGCTGATTATCTCTCCTGCTACAAACCCTCTTTTCTTGTTCTGCAACATGTAAGTTGCATCAGCTGTCCAGCATGTAAGTTGCATCTACTAGCACTGACATAACCACACATCACATGCACTATCATTTATGTCACATCTGAGTGTGATTCCCTGTCTCTGACAGGAGCCATGAGCTTAACAAGTGGAACTATCAGAAATAGGGTTGTAAGCGAGTAGTCGAGCCTAGGCTCATCGGGTAGCTGAGTCAACTTCTTGCTCCCGCCCCCCCCTTGCTGCCTTTGTTTTGGAGGCAGCAAGGCTGGTGGGAAGCAGGAGCTTTTAAGCCGGATCTCCCCAGCACTGTCTCCATGTGCCGCCTGCCTCCCCCCTGCCCTGCATTTCTGTTGGAGAGCCAGTGTTGTAAACAATCATGTCAATTAAATTCCAATCAGTTATACTGAGGCAAATTCCTTGCCCCCAAAAAAGATAGGGCTGAATAGGTGTGAGTGCGTAATTTGACTTAAAGTGTCGTTATGTACTGTGGTGATTGGTTGAAAAAGAGAAAATAACTCAACTTGGCTAGAGTGACTTTCCAGGGCTGGAGTTAAAATGTTTTGTCTGTAAACTGAGCACATTTGACACAATGGCAATTATATATTGAGCCTCACTAATAGCCTTTTGACTAATGTCACTTTTCAGAACAGAACTAGACTTTGAAGTTCAAGTAGAACATGGACATCAAACATGCAACTGATGGGTCAGACCCAGCTCCCCCTCCCCATATGTTTGTGAGACCACTACAACACATTCAGATGGGGCAGAATCTCAGCTTTCATTGAAACTAAAAATTTTAAAAAATCCTAATGCTTATGAGGGAAACCTTCCAAATGCAAGCCAAAGGTAAAGTGATGTCTGTTGCCTGCCTGATTCTGCAGTCAGCCTGAAAGAACATTTCTCAGACACTTAAACTTCTCTGCCCCCATTAATCTTGGTGCATCAACTAAAATGATGGCAATCTTATGTTAGCATTAACAGTTGTGTTACTGATAACTTTGGAGTGGGAGACAAATCCAGGGGGGGGGGGCAGGACTTGGAATTGGGAGTGGTAGGAGTGAGGGAACCACCGAAAGAAGAAGAGAAATAGATAAAGAGGTTGGGAGAGGAAGAGGAAAAACAACGGGTTGAAATAGCAGTTGGCCCACACAAGAGTATGCTTTTCCACTGAGCGATAGCAAATGCAGCAGTGAAATACTTGAAAAATAACTATTTAGACATTTAGTTACTTCATAATGATTCAGTTCCCTCCTTGATCCCCACACAAACCTTCTATTGTCATCAGTGGGTGTTCTGTTGTGGATGGAGACAGGTATAGAATCCTAAATCTGTTTCCATTTATGGACCATGATGAAAAATGGAATTAAGCCTACTCCAGGAAATAAACTTGACACCCCCTGAACTGGAAGCCATGCATAATGATCATTTCTTTTCCCCAAAGTGAAATGACCTGGTAGGAGACATCTCAGCAAGAGGCATCTGTGACACCATGGGTTAATGCATGGGACTTGCAGTGTAATTCTTGTAAATTACTCGTTTTCTGCTTCTGGTTTTGTTTTATTTTATAGCCAGCCGGATTGCCAGCTAGGCACTTTCTACAGCTAGGGACTCTCCGTAAGCTTTTGTTCTAACTAGGGAAAGTCCTGTTGGATTAACAGAACTGAGGGAACTGCAAAGGTGGTGCTCTTCATGCGTATGGTTCTAGGCTAGCTGGTCTGCATTAAAACAGTTTTGTTCCCTTTTTAAAGAGGAAATTTGGAATGAATCAGGAACCAAAAATAATCTGGAGAAGATATTTGTTTCCTTCTCCCTCAATTAAACCCAGCCCTCCAATAGTCCTGAGTGTTTGTGATGGGTGTGTGTGTATATATATATATCAGTGTTGACTTCAGGGCAAATATAGATTTATTGCAGAAAGCAAAAGGTGACGGAAGACCTTCTGCTGAGGTATGTAACAAATTCTTTACTGTTACTGCTTATAGTATGGTGATAGAGATGCAGCCGTGTTAGTCTGGTGTAACTGAAACAAAAGACAGAACTATGTAGCACTTTAAAGACTAACAAGATTTATTAGGTGATGAGCTTTCATGGGCCAGACCCACTTCCTCAGATCAATATGTGGAAGAAAATCGGCACAACCATATATACCAAAGTGATACAATAAAAAAAATGAACGCATGTGAAATTGACAAATCAAATTTTAGAACACAGTGGGGATGAGGGTGAAAGGTAAGTTTCTGTGAGATAATGACATTAGGGGTGATAATTGGGGAAGCTATCTTTGTAATGGCTCAGATAATTAGAGTCTTTGTTTAAACCCATACATAAAGTGTCAAATTTAAGCTTATAGCATGGACACACACTGTTTTGAGACTAAGGGATGGGTTTTGAACCTAATGGCAGAGAGAAGAGATGAAAATGTATCCTCTTTTGGTTGCAGCTCAAGCAGCCTTGTCAGGGTTGACTTTTATCCCTAGCTAATGGGGAATCATCTGAAGAGCAAATAATTTGGCTTTAGGATGCACCGAGCCACCAAATGGCAGGTATTTACAAGTAATTTCTCCGAAGAAGTGGTGCTCAAACAGAACTTCATCCCCCTGCTAATTACTGGGCTCACACAGGAAGTACCAAGATATTCCACAGTAGTTGCAGTGGGGCAGTAGACAGCAATTGTAATTAAAAAAAAAAAAAAAGGCTTTTAAGTATTAGAGAGCCTGGTCCTGCACAGAATGCTCATAGTATGTCCTAGGAATCATGCTGAACAGTTTGCAGGATTGAGACCATAATAGGTGGTGGTAAAATATTATTAACCAGCTGTTTCCATAAAGCCATACACATTTGAATGATGCTTAAGGACATACTTGTCAGTATCCATTTAGGACACAGAGCAGGAATATTAGAGAGACAGTGTGGGCGAGACAATTCTTTTATTGGACCAGCTTCATTTGAGGAGAGACCAGCTTTCCAGCTTACTTTGACGATTTCTTCAGGTCACTGGAAAAGAACAATGCATAGGGCAGGAAGGCCCTCCCCATGTCCCTCTCTGCCCCCCCCTTCCCTTCCCTTCATGTATTTGTGGTCCTCCTGGGAGCCTGCACAATCTAATCTTTTCATTTAATTCCTGGTTGGGAAGAACTGAGGCTAGCGGATGCAGGAATGTCTGCCTCAGTCTGCAGGCAGCCTGTGTCTGTCAGAAGTGTTGATTCTCCTGTTCCTCCTTATTCCATTGATTTTTTGACACTGAAGCTCAATGATGACACCTCAGTGTCAATATTAACTATTTAACTGCTGCTTCTTTTAGCAGCTAGAATAAGCTTTGAGGCTGGGAACTGGGAGGCTGGGAACTGGGAGTGCATGGAAGGGACTACAGAGGGAAGAGATGAGAAGAGACAAAGACAGAGAAAGGGGGGAGAAATAGAGAAGGGAGGCTGGAGAAAGAAGAGCAACAAAGACCATCGTAGCAGTGGTCTTGCATGCAACATGGTTTTCTATAAAATGATGGTGAATGTGGTCAAGGGACTTAAATTACAACTAAAAATGCAGTTCCTATTACCAGGCTGTATTCTCCCCTTGGTATTAGGGCTGGTCTCTCTGTACTATGCGTGGGAGATGGACTGTGGACTGAGGGGAGCAGGGAGTCTTCCCTTTATAACCCAAGCCATGGGGCATCATTAAGCCTGACATTTGGCCCACAGTACAGAGTGAGTGTGACATTGACCCTACTGGTATTATTCATCATTTCAGTGGCACTCATTATTTATGAGCCTCCCTCCTGTAGGTCACAAAATGGCACAAGCAAGATTGCAAATAGTAAATCAAGCAGAGGAAGGCTCCAGTATGAACTAGATCTGTTCTAATGCATATTAAAAGCAGTTCTTGTGTCGGTGCAGAAACCCTTGTTCATCTTCAAGGCCTTTCATAGCTATTAGCCCACACACTATCCCCATGAAATGAATAAGCAGGTTTTGGCTTTATCAGCAGGGAAACTGAGGCAGACAAGTGATGTGACTCAAGAGGGAGGTATCATTGCCAGGACAGTTCCTGTCTTTAAATCCTGTGCTGTCAGACCACTAGGCAGTGCCGATGAGCTCTGTCAATAAGACCAGACTATGGGATAATCATTTCCAATTAGAAATTATATACAAACCAATTATCTCCATACACAGACTATACCTTGAATGGATAAACATCTATTTCTCTGAAGCTGTGAATGTTAAAATGGCTGAGCAACTTCCCTCCAGGCCAACATTTAGCCTAAATGAATTTTCGTAAGTTTAAATTCTAACCCCATGCACTGATTAGAAATGAGCAGGGAGGCAGAAGCCCTAGCAGTGGGAAGGGCAATGTCACATGATCCCAGCCATATAGATAATGTGCTGCAACAGACAGGAGGCCTTGTCCAAAGCATGGGCTGAGCCACACAGATGTCAGGATAAAATCCCCTTTCCAGACTCTGCTCAGACATGAGTAAACAATACAGAAAAGGGTCTAAGTAACCTGCTTTCTGGACAAGGCTCTTGCTAGTTGGGATTGGTCCTGCCTAGAGCAGGGGGCTGGACTTGATGACCTTCTGAGGTCTCTTCCAGTTCCATGGTTCTGTGATTCTAGCACAGCTTCAGCTCTAATTCTAAGAGGGCCTATGGGACAAGTCCAGCCAATCTGTGCTTGTTTCCAATTCCTGTTAGAAGCCTGGTGAAATGATCCCAACGCAGCAGCCGCTGCGTCACTGTACATATTAACCCATGGAACTCATTGCTCACAGAGAACATACGTAGCAACTACAGAGAGAACCGTCCTGCCATCCCAGTATTTCATCTGCCTAACCCTCCACCAAAAAACAAATCTTTCCAACCCCTGTGAACTCAAGCCTCCCTTTACTATGGCACGTCTGGACTTTGGCATTGTTAGAAGGCTTCAATTTCTGCTCTAGAAACAACTCCTGCTCCATTATCCTGTGTACAGTTAGTACCTTTTGGCTGGGCATTTCAGTGCCCTGTAAGGCAATAATTAATGTTGCCTTCCATTGCCGCAATCCACTACAACCATTTCTGAAGAGGAGTGACCCGGGCAATTAAGGCTTCTCCAAGGGCATATTTCAAGTCATTCTCAAAGGTGGGAACAGCCTCTAGCAATCCTAACTCCCAGACCCCTGGTCTGACCAACAGGCCATAATTTAAAGGGCCAGTTGCTCAAAAAATAATTCCTCTTCTAACCAAAGAGTGAATCACTAACCACATTGGTTCTCCAACCAACCTCCTGTCAGCTCAGCATCGGGTGGGGAGAGGGGCATGTGACCCATCTGTCAGCTACCTGTGAGTGTGCCACCAAACCCTGGCCAGTCCTTGAGTTTGGATTGAGGGGCATGTTTTTCTTCTCACACGTCGTGTAACAAATTACAGTGGGGAGGAAGAGAGCTTGCTGCTTCTCCAGCGCACAGTATTCTCCAGAAGCTGAAGCACTGAAGGTTTAAAATAAGCTAGAGTCAGACCTCTCAATATATCATTGCATTTTTAATTGTCCATATGCTCAATCCATTATGTTTTCCTCCTCATCTGGGCTGTAATAATGAGGATCTCTGGCAGGCACCTGGCTCTGAAAGGTAAAATACAAGATCGATGCACTGTAAACTGAGGCGCAAAAAAGGGGTGAATTCACTGCTCTTGCCCATTGGAGAGACTTCTTGCTGCTTGCAACGGAGGCCGGGTCAATCATAAGGATGTGATCTTTCCATTATTTTTGTATTGCAGCCTTGTGAAAGTAGCCCAATCATAGATCTTGCCCCATAGTACTAGGTGCTACACAAACATAGCCTTGCTCTGCTCTGCCTCAAGGAGCTTACAACATTGTGACTGAGGTTAAATCTAAGTTCAGGTGACATTCAGTGAAGCCTTACTAATGACAGAAGGCCTGAGCCTAGCACAGGCTAGATAGGGTGTGTTGTGGCCATAATCAGAAGGGGAAATGCAATGAGGAGAATAGGCAGTGAGTGGGAGTCTGATTGTGAAGGATTAAGAGCACTGTGCAGCTGCCATGTTATCCTGCCTAGTCACAGGAGCAAAACCCGAGAGAGAAATATGCAGCTCATTAGAATGAGGGGACTCATACTTGGACACAGGCCTCTAACCACGGCCTGCCCTTCTTTTTCCCTTCATATGCATAAGTAAAGGAGCTAGGGACTTGCAGCTTGCTACTATGCAGTGTGGCTAGTATTCAACCTTACTTGCCCTGACATGTGGCTTCCATTTGCACTGGAGCACACCAACCTGCTGCATGATGGACAACGGTGGGTCTTCAGAACATAGAGACTTATCTCTCCCCTGGTCTCCCCACTACAGTCACTTGGCTTGGTGAAGGGAGAGGCAGGACTTTGAATACCCAGGAGGGCAGGTAGAAAGGGTCCTGAGCAGTGGGAAGACAAGTGGGTATTGGCACCTGTTTTTGTTACCTGAGGTTCAGCAATGTGCAAAGGGGGTCAGCGCTCCACTGATAACTGTAAAATAGCAGTATGTGTATCAAGATCCTGAGACTGAAATCCAGGGCTGTGTCTACACTGGCACCCTTTTCCGTAAAAGGGATGCTAATGAGACCAGTCGGAATTGCAAATGCCGCGGGGGATTTAAATATCCCCCGCGGCATTTGCATGAACATGGCTGCTGCTTTTTTCCGGCTCGGGGTTTTGCCGGAGAAAAGCGCCAGTCTAGACGGGATCTTGCGGAAAATAAGCCCTTTTCCGGAAGATCCCTTATTCCTACTTGAAAGTGTTCAGTCACAGGGGGAAGAAAAACTTGCCATGTATGTACTGAAAGACACACTGCTAAATAAAATAGCTCTGTGGCTTTTATGAGCTTCCTTCTGCCCCCACTAGCAAATGCTCCTTTTCCATTGTGTGGACCCAAAGCCTGCACAAAAATAAATACAATCAAATAAACAAAATGTTCATTTTAAGCATAGCAGACAAGCCTCCGGAACGATATTATTTTTTGCACTCTTATCCATCAAGATAGGTAAACAGATGTTTGCTTCCAGAGTTAGAACCAACCAACCCCCATGAGGAGACTGTGCCTGCCAAGGTTCAGCCTGGAGCAAATTTTACAGCTAAATTATAAGCCCCTGAAAATAGAGGCTTAGAATTATCACTCCATGAGATGCCTAAGTAGAGGCTGAAGGTGAAAACAGCCTGGCTGTCATGAAGGCCAGACAGAGAAGATGTTCCAGTCATGCCTCCTCTTTAGGCTGTATAAAAAGGTAATGTTCCCTTTAGGAGCATAGATGCTAGAGATGAGAATATGCAAGATAAAGTGCAGTAAGATGATTGTGGGGGTTTTGAATGTGAATTCCTCATTCTGAAGAATACTAGTAAGATGTTTCCTAGTTCTGGTGGCATAATTAAAATGGCCATCAATCTGTTTGATGACCTATCTCTCCGTTCTCCCCTTGCAATCACTAGGAGCTGCTTCTGACTTACACCTGCAGTGCTTAATGCTTTATCCAAAGAGCATGTCATGCCACTGGACTCCACAGGATGGTGCTGCATCCAATACAACATTCCATCTCAGATACAAGATGAGGTAAGTAAAACTGGGGGGAAACTTTATCCCAGACATGAAACAGGATCCTAGAATTACTGCATGTTTATGGGAGACGCCATAGCATCCAGCAAGGGGACGTAATGCTCTTCTTTTGACATAATATAATTCACTGTGTGGCATTTCCACCACCCTCTGCTTTATGAATGGGGTGGGCCGCAGTATTTTAGACGCACATTATCTGCACTGTACTGTCTCTTCAGAGCAGGGGTGGGAATTGAAATAATTGTGTAAGTACCTTTCCAGTCATATAGGCAAATTCTCCAGAATTGGCCTTCTTGGTGTTACTGTGGGTGATTGGACTATTCCTTTAGAACAGGGGTGAGAAATCTCTGTCCCAGGGACTGAATCTGATTCCCAAGGCTTGAGGCGCCTCCCCCACCCCCAGCATTGGGGAGCTGGCACTTGAGCTCTGTGGTCCCCTCCTGCCCAGACCCTGCATCCCAAGCCCACTTCCCAGCAGCCCCCACGCACACATTGAACTTCTAATTTTTGGCCCGACCCCAGAGCATAGAAAGGTCCACAAAATATACTAGTCTAGGCCCCCCTAAGCTCTGGTGTGTGAAGTGAATGTGGGGGTTGGGTTTTTTTTTTTTTTGCTTTTTGCTTTTTGCTTTTGGGTGGCCCCCAACTGATTTTTCCGTGGGTCACCAGCCCCCGACCCACCCCTGCTTTAGAATGCTGAGGTTAGAAACAAGCAGCACCAGCTCTTATTAAGCGTGTCTCCAAATCACACACGCTAATGTGATGGTCTCTGGTCTAACTATTTTTTCAGCCTCTGCGGCAATGCAGCATACTGCATAGCTCAGCTGGACACACCCACCGTACCTTCGCAATCGTCCGAATGGACATCCCAGTGGTTGACAAAGCACACACATGTCCCATCAGCAGTGCGATGGGTTGAAAAATTAACGACCGAGAGATTTCCACATGCCTATAAAGCAAGCACAGAAAAAATGCCCCTTTAAAAAAAGGAGCGGCCTTTGAGAACATGCCCAAAGTGCAGGAGTGGGAGAGTGTCATATGTCTTCCTGCAGAAAGACCTCTACTGGGACAGTATTCTCACTCTTTGTTCACTTGGTTTAGGGGAGCAACTGAAGCTGAAGAATGCAAAGACTATGTCACCAGTGGCCCCAACTCCTGCTATTTCAGCCGCACCAACCTGTGCCTGTACTTGACCTATGAAATCTGGGTGGAAACTGGAAACGGGACATCAGAGAAGCTGATTGTTAACACTGAAGACATTGGTGTGTAGGGGATGCGTGTATGCGTGCCAGGGTGTGTTTGGTGGGTTAGTTCTTTGTTGAATTGTATTTATTGTGGAGAGAAAATTAGAGCAAATATTCACCTTTGAGTCCTGACCCTGAGCCCACTGGTGGCAATGGAGAGACTCTTCATGACATTAATAGAGCAACCCTGTAGAGGAAGGCATCATGCTCCAGTGATCTTGACCTAGGACTATAATAATTGAGATATTGATTCCCTCTGTGCCCATATGCAAACCAAAAGTCCTGGGTCTGTTTATTCCTACTTGATAGATGGAGAATGAGTCTTGTGGATGGGGAGGGCAAAGTTGCCCCCCAGTCCGGAGATTCAAAGAGGCCCAGAGCTTCTGGCCAGTGTTGTCTCTACTGCAGCAACAGTGGCTGCAGCCCCAGCCCCCTTTGAATGGCGGCCAGAGCGCCGCTGGGAAAGCTGGCGGGTCATGTTGCAGTCTGGGAGGCACTAAGGGCTGACTGCCCTTGGTCCCACCCCTTCTGCCTGAGGCCCTGCCCCTTCCAGGGGTGCGTAGCTGCTCCCCCCCACACACACCTTGCCCCAGGGTCCGCGATGGCTGTTGGCCCCACTGGGAATAATACAACCTCCCCTTGGTGTCACAAGGAATAGCTATGACTGAAACTTTGCAACGCTCCTGGGAGAGCAGTGCTGTTATTTAGGCAACGGTTTGGCCAGGGCTGGTAACAGATTTTTTTCGGCCCTGGGCAATGTGGGTATGTCTACACTACCCTCCTAGTTCGAACTAGCGGGGTAATGTAGGCATACCGCACTTGCAAATGAAGCCCGGGATTTGAATTTCCTGGGCTTTATTTGCATAAGCGGGGAGCCGCCATTTTTAAATCCCCACTGGTTCGAACCCCGTGCAGCGCGGCTACACGGGGCTCAAACTAGGGAGTTCGGACTAGGAATCCTCGTCCGAACTACCTAGTTCGAGCCCCGTGAAGCCGTGCTGCACGGGGTTTGGCTAGCTGTACTCCTCGTGGAATGAGGAGTACAGCTAGTTCGGATTAGAAAGCCTAATCCGAACTAGCTACTCCATTCCGCGTGTAGCCGCGCAGCACGGGGTTCGAACTAGCCAGGATTTAAAAATGGCGGCTCCCCGCTTATGCAAATGAAGCCCAGGAAATTCAAATCCCGGGCTTCATTTGCAAGTGCGGTATGCCTACATTACCCTCCTAGTTCAAACTAGCGGGGTAGTGTAGACATACCCTGTGTGTGTGAGGGCTCAGCTCTGGGCACTCAGAAGGGGCAGGGCCTCAGGCAGAAGAGGTAGGGCTTGGTACAGCCAGTCTTCAGCGCTGCTTGGAGAGCCCCGCACAAGCTCCAGCAGCCATTGCTGCTGTTGTAGCAGCCACCCAGAATGCTTAGCTCTTTTAAATTCCTGGGGCAACTGCCCCCTTTGCCCTCCCTCCCCTGGTTGGTGGCCCTGGGGTTGGCTATTCCTGATCGCCGAGGCCTTGTCTTCACTTGGGAAAAAGGTGGTTTTACCACACAATAGCGAATACATCATAACTAACATGAGTTAAAATCATGGGCCAAACAAGGCCATTGTTAGTTTTCACATGTGTTAACAGGTCAAACCTCCACAAGCTAACGTGTGAAAACTACCAACTACCTTGTCCATGGCTAGGGACGTCCTTAGGATTTATGGGACCCTACATAGTGCTATTAGTTCTCTTTTGCCTGATGGCAGCCCGGGTTGTGTGTGATTTTTTTTTTAAAGAGATGTGATGTTATAATCTTCAGCAACACACATGAAATATTTTAAAGCATATTTTAAACTAAGGTCCTGTAGACTCGCACAGTAAATTCAGAATAGTGATAGAAATGTAGCTGTGTTAGTCATAGTCCTGTATTTTGTTACAGTAAATTCAGAAATGGACAGTATGTGCCTGGGATTGCCAAATGCCTGGTAAATGGTTTCATTACCACTTGCATGGCTCTTTCACAGGTTCAGTGTCTTGCTAATAGGCCTGGCAGGCTTTTTCACTTTTAAGTTAACTAGCTCTTCTCCTGGGTAAGCACTGCCACAGAACAAGGATAGGAAGAGGTGAGAGGGTTGACACTAAAACCTAAGTTAAGCCCCGAATTTTCAGGTGCCCTATGCAGCTGTCTATTCTGTGTATAGGTAAGGATGGCCCTCTCCATGGCAGGGTTTTCATGTGTACCAGCTAGCACATAGTAACCCTCCTCTTGTTTTCCTATTGTGGACGCACCCCCAGCGTGAACTTTTAACAGACACAATATGAACAAAAAGCCAAGGAAGGTTAGATCCCAGGGCTGTGTCTCAAGCCCTGGCCCCAAATTTTAAACAAAGAAGCTTCAGCTATCAGTGCAGCTCCAGTAGTCTCTAGGGTGGAACAGCAGAAGGCAGCCAGGGGGGACAGCCCCTTATCTTGGGCGATTGCATCCAAAGGCAGGGGCTAGACTCCTTCCTTTCAGGGCTTTTTATACTTCTAGGCATCCCACTCTTTTTCTCTTGGCCCTCACCCAGTATCTGTTCTCCTCCCATCCCTTCTGACAGCATGCTGGATTTAACACAGCCTCCCTATTCCTGCACTGCTGCAGCTCCTCTTTACTTTTCTTTTCCTCACAGCACGGATATTTTTGGAGGGGAGGGGTTGGGGTAAACAAGTGGAACCCTGCAAAGCTGCAGATATCCATGGGTATTCGCATCCACAGATGTCAGTGCGGATATCCGCGGCTCATTTTTGCAGAGACAGATGCGGATACAAATTTTGTATCTGCGCAGGGCTCTACAAATCAGGGTTTTTGACCTGGGAGTGACCATCTCTGTCTCTCTCTGGGTGCCCTAAAATCTGCCCTGTTCCATATCTATGCCATGTGGTCCTTGCAGCTTGATTGCGCTGTTTGCCACTGGCTCAGTTCAGCAGCCCCTGCATGCCAGCCGCTTCCCCCAGAGTGGATGGGGAGCTACTCAGATGCAGCAGCAGCTCCAGAGTTAGAGAACCAGGCCCCTCCCTCTTGTGTTTAAGGCAGAACACACCGATAGCAGCAGAGCCTTGTAGAGCTGGGCCAGGATGGGCCAGGTTTCAATTGCATGAGACTCCAGAAAGTCTGCATGTCACATGTATGAGCTTAGCGTCTCTGAGCATCTAGCGCAGGGTGATGGGCTGATAATGGTCCCTTCTGAACAGGGTCGAGAATGGGGTTTTAACACAGTATGTTTCCACCATCTTGTAATTGGGTCTAAGCCATGCCAATGACCGTGCCTGTTAAGCACTGTAATGTGATTCTAATTCCAATTGTTCCCATCTACACAGGCAAATACCGAAATACAGCTGAGGCACTCCTGTGTGCTAGTTCAGTCCCCTACCTCTGAGAAATGCGCTGCACAGACAGGCCCATGGCCAGAGCTGTTTCTTCCTCAATTTTTTGTCTGGACAGAATGTTAATCCCCAAGCAGAGGGTGAGCATCAGCCTCTGAAAGTAATGGGCCTCTTTCAAAGGCAGCAGTGGTTGAAATGCCCTGACATTAGCTTGCCTCCCTCCCATCACTCTTTGCTGCCAGCTTCTCCTCGCTATAAACCGCTTCTTTTTTTTTATTGTTGTTTTTGTTCAGCCTACAGCAGCATGAGCTACCCATCCCCCCAGATGCAGAGTGAAACAGCTCAGCCTTTTCCTGGGCTGGTGGCTGTGGTTTGACTCAGTGCCAGGTTTGAGCATGGGAGGTGGAGGGGAGGGGGGAGAAAACAAGCATCACACACACAGAGACTGAGTGTGCAAAAGGAATAGTCTCACTCTCGTATTCAAACTGAGCAAGTGTGTTACAGGAGCAGTCTCTCCCACGTACAGTGAGTGTGCATTAGTAGTCTCTCACATACATGCAGAGTGTGTGTGTAATGGGAGCAATCTTGCACACGGCAAGTGTGCAATAGAAGTAGAATCTTGCACAGAGTGAGTGTGCGATAGAATTTCTCACACACAAAGTTGAATATGTGATAGGAGTTGGCTCACACTCACACACACACAGAGGAAAGAGCAAGTGTGTGACAGGAGTAGGGACTTTCTTTTTACCACAAGTTGGGACTGGATGATGGGATGGATCCCTCAGAAATTGCCTTGCGTGTTCCTTCCCATTGAAGCATCTCGCACCAGCCACTGTTGCAAGATAGACTCCTGGTCCAGCTGAACCATTGGTGTTCCGTATGGCTGTTCTTATTTTTCCATCCAGGGACTGGGGTCATACTTCTGCACTGAGAATGGTTTGTCTCTGCTAAGGAGGTGTTCTTTGCCCTGCCACACAAACCTGTCCCCTCCAATCCCTCCACAAACAGCCTCTGCCTTTGCGTGCTCCAGGAGGCAGCTCCATAAAACAGAAACTGTGGCCCTCGCAGCAGACTTAGAGGCGGGAAAATCACCCCCAGGTTGAGAGGCACATGCAGTAAATTACTCAATCATAATACTTCCCTGCCTTATTGTACCTAGAAGAATTACTTTAATATCCATAGTCTAGTAGCACCTTAAAGACTAACAAAACACGTATTAGCTTTCATGGGCACAACCCACTTCTTCACAAAGCTCATGATACCACCTACATGGTTTGTTAGTCTTTAAGGTGCTACTAAACTATTTGTTGTTTTTTAAGTTTTTCCTGTTACAGACTAACTCGGCTACCCCTCTGAAGCTTTTTAATATACATTACTTCCTTCACAATGAGACTTATTATTAGTAACATGAGGGGGAGGGGCTCTTGGCCAATGAGATTTCTCAGTATCTTCCACCCCTCCTTGAAGACTTTGGCCTGATTCAGGAAAACAGCACTTGAGCATGTGTTTCAGAATATTCCTGACTGGGGGGAAGTAGAGTTATACGCACGTGTGTAATTATAGGCAGTCCCCGGGTTACATGGATCCGACTTACATCGGATCCCTACTTACAAACGGGGTGAGGCAACCCCGCACTAGCTGCTTCCCCCCAGCAGACCAGGGAGACACGAAGCTAGCGCCTGCCCCCTCAGCAGACCGGGGAGACGCGGAGCAGCTTTTCTCAGCAGACACCTCAGCTTGAGAATAAAGGACTGAGGGATGTGAGGTGTGGGAGAATAAAACTGAGCTCTGGAGAAATGTTTGGCTAGAGTTTCCCCTACAATATGTACCAGTTCCGACTTACATACAAATTCAACTTAAGAACAAACCTACAGTCCCTATCTTGTACGTAACCCAGGGACTGCCTGTACTGAACTAAAAAGTATTGGGACCAGATTCGCTGAAGTCAATGGTGGTTTGTGGCGGTCACCACCCTCACTTTTCTTTTTCAGTTATTGGGGCAGGGAGGAAGGGCATTCCTTTGGATTCCCATAAAACCTCAAAGCCAGTCCTGCATTGGCAGGACTCTCAGCCCTCGTCTACACTAGGGAATAATTTTGAAATAACAAGTGGATCGTCCATACTACCAAGCGTGTTATTTTGAAATAACAACTCTTGCTTTCCATGAGGAATAACACTTATTTTTAAATTGTTATTTCGGAAGTTATTATTTCTAAAGAAGTTATTTCAAAATAATTTCCTAGTGTAGACATGCCCTGAGGGTGATCAGTGACACTGGCAGATGTTTTAGAAACTTCGGCTTCACAAGTGCTGCCAACTAAGACCGGGTAGCATAGGGTGATTTTACTGCTTGGGGCTGTGGGCTTTTGATAAGAAGCTGTTATTAGTTACTTCGCGCCAAAGGAAACTTTAAAAACAATGAGTAGTCCTGCGGCTCCTTAGAGACTAACAGAAATATATATATACAGTGTCATGAGCTTTTGTGGGCAAAACCCACTTCCTCAGATGAGATGATTTTGAGTGGAGAAAAAAAAGGGTTAAGAAGGAAATAAGGAATAAAGAAGAGAGAGGGAGAAAAAATTGTATCTGTCAATTGTAGTCCCAGTGCTAATGAGGCTAATTGAGTGGGCTGGAAGTGTCCCATGCTTAGCTTTTAATGTCAATAGGGTGTTGAATGTAAGGAAAGCTCCTTTTGTAATATGTTAACCAGTTCAAGTCTTTGTTTTGCTTTTAAATAATAAGATTCACAACTCTTGCATTTGCCAAAATTCAGAGTGGGGTTGCTCTCCCCATCTGCGGCAGTTTCCTCTTCTATTGTGAATGAGTTACTCTTTGCTATGGGGAAGATACTAGTTTTTTTTAGTGATTTCCTCCTCTAGTGATGAGGGGTAAAATAACTTGGGATTCAAGGCCCAGGTCCTCAAAGGGTTTTAGGTACCTAAATCCTTTTGATTTCAGTGGTGCCTAAATACCTTTTGAGGCTCTGGGCCCCAGAACTGAAGTCTTATTGAAAATTTTAGGCTCCCGAGTATTTAAGTCACTTGGAAATGAGACCTAGCCAACTAAATCATTCCAGTCCTTTAGAAAATTTCACCCTAGCGCATGAACGGACGCATATGCACATGGTCACACAGCCAGCCCTCCGCCCAAGTCCAGTATGCCCACAATGTGAGTTTAGCCCCTCCTCTGATCACCTTCTTTTTTTTAAATAGCCAAAACTGAACCACCAGAGGGCCTAAAGGCCATTGGATTTGGCACCCATCTCTCCGTAGAATGGAGGTACCCACCAGGTTTGGCAGCCTCATATTTTCCACTGGTGTTTGAGCTTCAGTACCAAGAACAGGGATGTGGCAAATGGAAGGTGAGTCACATTTGCTTTTCTTGCCTTCCATGAGCTGTGTCTGTTGTGTAACATTTAACATTTAAAAACATGCCTGGGGCTTTCCTCACTAGCAGGGCCGGCTTTAGGCCGATTTGCCCGATTCCCCTGAATCAGGCCCCGCGCCTAAAAGGGCCCCGCACCATAAACCCGGAAGTGTACTGGGCGCGCTGTGGGAGGGGGCATCGGCCTCGAAGGAGGAGCACGGTGGCTTCTGTGTGCCGCAGGAGGGGGAGTCGGCCTGTGGGTTTGGCAGGAAGGCAGGACTCTTCTCTGTAGCTGGGGATTTAAAAGGGCTGAGTTGTTTGTTTGTGTGCTGAGTTGGTTTTTTTTTTTTTTTTGCTCAACCAAAATTTGGTTCGAATTGGGTCCCGCACTTCCTAAAGCTGGCCCTGCTCACTAGAGTCCTGGGTAACCGTAGCTGGCTGGTTTGCAAGGAACCTTGTCCAGCAGAAGTCTGCACACTGCCTAGAAATTTAAACACTTAAAAGTGGGCTAGGAACTTTTCAGCAAATAAGAGATTCAACAGCAGCAGATGTGCTGTCACAAAGAAAGTGAAACAATTAGACTCCTCATTCCTCCATGGACTTCACAGGATTACACCAGAGATGGCTCTGACCCTGCAGTCAGTATCCTAGAATATTAACTTGTGAGTTCAGTGTTGACCATGAATTCTGTAAGGGCAATGAAAGTGATTGAAAATAAAGGCCCCTTTTAAAAAACAATATTATAACTGGCCAGGTGGGTGGACTAGAAACCCTGTTTGACATCAATGATTCTTTTAGATGAAAAGACTACCCTAGCTCAGGATCCAAACTTCGTGGTTAGATTCTGTCCTTCTCCTACGCCTTTTTGCCCCCTCTGATCTCTTTCTTTCCCCCAGCAGCATCAAAGGCCAGAAAGCGGCCTTAACTAGGCAACTAAAGATTCTTCCAGCACAGTGGAGTCCATGGCTGACACAAACTAAGTGCAGCGCAGCTCTAGACATGTCTTCCTACCACCATCACCCCCACCTTGCTGGATATACAAAGGTGTTGGGAGGTGATTGAATAAGCCAGTGTAGTTTGGAGCAGCCCTCCTATAAATTGTGTGAGTATTAGAGTCTGTAAGCAGGTAGAGCTCCACTAGCATTGGGCAGCCTCACACTGGCCTCGTTTAGTCCTAATCAGTCTTGAACAGTTTTGTCTGAAAATGTGTTAGCTGTGGACACAAGCATTGTGACAACCACGCTATAATGAAAATGGTTTCAAGAACAGTTGCTTTCCAAGAGGTTGCTCTAATAAAACTTAAAAAATAACAAATAGACTAGTAGCACCTTAAAGACTAACAAAACATGTAGATGGTATCATGAGCTATCGTGGGCACAACCTACTTCTTCAGATGACCGGAGTGTTGGAAGTCCAGATCCAAGATCTTGGAACCCTCTTGGATCTGGACATCTTGAATCTGGACTTCCAACATTCCGGTCATCTGAAGAAGTGGGCTGTGCCCACGATAGCTCATGATACCATCTACATGTTTTGTTAGTCTTTACGGTGCTACTAGACTATTTGTTGTTTTTTAAGTTTTTCTTGTTACAGACTGTAGCTCGGCTACCCCTCTGAAGCTATATATTAACTAGCCAATTAGCCCGTCATAAGACGGGATTTTCAGGTCTCTTCTCCACATTGGTTTTCTCTCCTGAGCCTCCGGTCTCTCTCTCCGTCTCTCTCTCTCTCTCCTCCTCCTCCTCCTATTACCTCCCCCTCTCTCAACTCTCCTCTGCCTCCTGCCTCTCTCTCTGTCTCGCCTTCTCTTCTCCTCCCCCTCCTGCCTCTCACTCGGGGGACCGCGGAGTCCAAACCATCGCTTGCACCACTTGCTCCCATGCGGCGGTCTGGCTGAGCGGTGCAGAAGTCATCCAAACGCCATGGCAGGAGGCGAAGGGGGGCGAGGCGGTGACGTACATGGCCAGGCCCCACCTCCTGGGCATGTATGTCACCGCCCTGCCCCCCTTCCCCTTCCGCCGTGGTGCTCCGCTGACTTCTGCACCACTCAGCCGGGCCACAACGGGGGAGCAAGCGGTGCAAGCAGCCGTTTGGGCCCCGCACTCCCCATGCAGCATGGGTCTCCCAGAGGGAACAGCCAGCATTTCAGGCAACAGCGCCCTCCAGAGGGAACAGCCAGCATTTCAGGCAACAGCGCCCCCCAGAGGGAACAGCCAGCATTTCAGCGTTACAGACTCTCAGACACTGGGCTCTATATTATATATGATCGTTTACCTGCAATATATGATTTAGCCACTAGATGTCTCTGTGTGCTATATATTTCCAGATAGGTTGAGGTTCCAAGGAGACAAAACTGGAACTTAGACTGCATGGAAGTCTTTTTCCTATCTATAATTTGCAGTTCTTTTCTTTAATGAGTTCCTCTTCTTTAAGACAGACTGTGACTTCATAGACCATGCATTTTCCAAACAATTTCTTTTTTGAGAATAAATCAAAATCTGTTTAAAAAGGAAACCTGTGAGTTCTTCCATGTATGGTTTATTGGTCCAGGGTCCACAGATTTCCTGTGTTCCTCTCCTGGTGCAGACACTATTTCTTATATGGCCTTGAGCCAGTCACTTGGCTGTGCATCAGTTTCCTTGTTGTGTGCATAATTTAATGCACATAAAATATTTTGGAGGTGCCAAGTGTTAAGCATTATTACCATTCGTTCTCTCAGTTATTTCTCCTAACTAAAGAATGAAGGGGGAAAAGAATTACTCTTGTTATTTGGAAGGGAAGTGAAAGTAATGTAATTAGTTTTTTTCTCTTTCTTTGTGTTAGCAAGAGCCTGATGTGGGTGAACAGACCAGCTACTATATATATGATGTGAAGCCAGAAACTGGGTACATTCTGATGGTTCGCTGCAAGAACTCAGAGGGAAAAGGCTTTTGGAGTGACTGGAGCACCCCAATTATAGTCAGTTCTGCCCAAGCCACAGCAAAACCAGTGCACTCTGGTACTGAGTGAAGTACCTGTAGAAGATACACCACTCAAGGCAATAGTTCACCTAGCTCAGCATGTTGCCTTTGGCTGTGTCCTACACCCAGTGCTTTATTAACAGCATCTAGACCGGGTATGTGGGTATTGGGTCCCAAGGGCAGGAAAGTCTAAATTAATTTTGTGAAAGTGCTTTTTATTAAATAAAAGGAACCATAAAAGCTAAGTTGCTGTTTGTATTATTGTTAGCTAGCAAGAAGATGCTAATGCTCTGAGTGTGCTTTGTCTGTTAATGCTGAGCAACTTATCTGAGCCCCAGTTCCACTCCTAAATGGGACCTCTTTACAAGCCATAAGGCCTTAGGACTTGTCACCACTACCAGGGGTTGATTAAACAGGTCTAGTGAAGACCCACTAAATCAACCACCAAATGTGCTCCCGACAATTCTGGTACTCCACTGGCATGAGAAACTTAAGGTAAGTTGATGGGAGAGATTCTCCTGTTGACCCAGCAAAGTGTAGACACTATAGATAGTTAACCTAAAGTACACCGACTCCAGCGACATCATCCATATAACTGGAGTTGTGTAATTTAGGTCAAGTTTAGCTCATAGTGTAGACCTGCACTTGTTGATAATCATACAGTCGCAACTGGAGCTGGGAAAGGTATTCTTCAGCAGCAACTCCCGGATTCCCCATTATAAAATGATCAGGATCTGGGGACAAAACAGTTAAGGCTGATATGTGAGGTCTTGTCATTAAGTTTGAAAGTTAAAAACAACCCAGATCAGATTGAAGGTTGTGTGTTGTGCTTCCAGAGCCTTTGTTTCAGCTGCCGGCAAGGCTGAGGGATAATTCCTAGCAGTTATACATAGCTCACATTTGGAACATTATGTATTTGTTTGTTTATTATTCAACCACAAGGGCTAGAAACTTACCCATTTTTAAAAAAGAAAGCTGAGATTCTGCAGAATCTGAATATACCATGTAGGCCACATAAATGTACCAAGTAGGCTGGGTGTTTGACATCTCTGCTTAAGAGAGTCCTGGGGTATCATTTGTTTTTGTAACCAGGTTAGCTTGGAAACCTGGAACTATTCCTGGAGGAAGAGAGTGAGTGTGACTCATAGTAGCTCTCAGCTGCCTAAAACCTGACTGAGTGACACTGGCCTTTAAAATGTGAGGCAAACCTATCAAATAAGAACTTAAAAGCACAATAAATTGCTACATTTATATAGCGCCTACAAACTAAAGCTACATCCAGTGCCACTCAAAATCAGCTGCCTCTACAACAGCATGTGATAGGTGATGTGCACACAGCAATGGACAGGTTATTTTGGCAAAGCTATACCTAAATGAAAAAGAGCCAGGAGATCTATACAGAGAAACTGTGACTTCAAGTATTATTCAGAAGCCCCAAGTGACAGGGCTACTCTATTCACATAATTCAGAAGGCCTAAGCTGACCAAGCTCAACTTTCTAAATGGTTACTAAGGTATTTATATTGTATTAGCATCTGTGTACCTCATTGCCTCTGTGGGAGGCAGGGAAGTATCACGAACCAAGTCTCAGATCAATTAAGATGATAAATTTCCTGGCTGAGCCTAGATTGGAACCAAGGTCTCCAGCATCAGGGCCTATTGCATTAACCACATCACCATCCTTCCTGGGTTTCTAGGTAAAAGCTCTACACTCAACCCCACTCTTTGGTCCACACTTCCTTTCATTAACACATAAAGGTTTCAAAGGCCCATTTCATGATTAGCCATTTGTACCATCAATACATTGCCATCACAAGACAAGAGTGAACTCCAGGCACACAAGGGACACAGGATAAGACAACAGACCTGTGCTGCATGGTGTGAGGTACAGAGGGAGGATCAATACACAAAAACAATTCTTTGGGCTTGACAAAATACACGTTTGGCCGCACTGAAGGGAACAGTTGGCCCAACAGGCAAGTTTCAGTAACAAAAAAGGCAACAAGTGGCTGCTTTTCCTCCCAAGTGGTTCCATATTGCTACCCGTTTGCAAACCCTCAGATTGTCAACACACTATGCATTCCCCTGACATCTCTTAGCTCCAATGCACAACACAGACAGCCAAAAAAGCCACTAATACGATGTCTGCTAATTAATGGAAAATAGTGTTACCTACATCTCAGACGATGAATTGAAAGTTGTTTGCCAATAACTATTAACTCAAAAAAAATCCTTTTTATCTGCAACATATTGGACACGTTACAGTTAGTGAATAGCATGCAGGTGGGAGAGTTATTGTTCAATAAAACCAAAACCAACCCACTCTCAGCTGTCAGATATATCCTTTCATTCGCAATTTATGGGTATGTCTACACTGCAGAGTTTTCAGAAAAATGGCTGTTTTTTCAAAAAAAACCTTCACTTACATCTACACGGCAATCGTGTTTTCGGGGAAAAAAAATTGAAAGAACAGGGTTTTTCCAACATTATTATACCTCTTTCTATGAGGAAGAAGCCTTTTTCCGAAAGAGGCATGTGTGGATGAGGAAAGAGAGAGTTCTTTCGAAAGAAGTGGAAAGAAGAAAAAACACAGGTGCCCTGGTGGCCACTCCATCCACAGTAATCACAGCTTAAATGAGAAATAGCATCCATTCATTGTGAACGCTATCTTTCGAAAAAGCAGATCACTTTTTCAATGCACTTTTGCTGTAGACACTCTCTTTCAGAAGAAGCTTTTTCAGAAGATCTCGTCTGGAAAAGCTTCTTTTGAAAGAAGCTTGCAGTCTAGACATAGCCTTATATGTTACAGTAGAAATAAGGATTTGAAGCCTTTCTGTACCTTTATTATCTCACCTCTGAAATATTTGCCCTTTTTACCTCTGTAGCCTCTGAAAAAGTGAATCTTTCAGAAAGTTAGATGGTAGGTGAAAACAGGGTAATAATTGAAACAGGTATGCAACCTTAACTAACGTGCTGTAACTATGACAACATCATAGCGTGTTCTCATTCCAAGGAAAAACAACTCTTGAGGAAATACCAAGAAGAGCTGAAATGTAAGATTTTTTTTTTTAAATCTATATGGGTTAAAGTTAGAGCTAGATTATAGATAGATTAGTTTAGAATAAAATAGAGCTCCAGAAAGGTAGGAAAGTCCTCAAATACATAATTAAAGCGGAACATTCAGGTGTTCACAACCCACAAATGAGGCCAAATATTCAGAAATGTTCAGCTCCCATGTAGGTATAACCTACACAACCTACTGGGTGTGGGTCACAGTCCCATGTAATGGTACCTTGGACCACATACAGCGAGAGATAAGAATGGGGTGGGTTTAATGTTCTGGGATCACTTGAAAATTTAGCCATACTGTACAAGTGATTGCTTTATTTTACCACAAGATGCACCTTTTCCCCTTTGTTATCTCCACCCTTGCGTTTTTGAAACCACGAAGATATGGGCATGCAGGTCCTGAGCATTCCAAAGAGCACCCACAGAATGGCCCCTAAATGAACGTTAAAGGGGCGACAAGTTGGGTGAGTTAATATTTGTATTGGACCAACTTCTGTGGGTGGAAAAGACAAGATTTTGAACTTCACAGAGCTCTTCTTCAGGCCTGGAGAAGGTAACCAGAGCACAACAGCTAAATACAAGGTGAAACAAGGTAGACTATGTAGCTGGAGTCAGCTTACCTTAGGCTGAGCTTGGTGATGTCCCCACAGCAGGAGGCCAACAGGAGCTAATGCTCCCATTGGCTACCCTTACTCCTGGGAAGAGCAGGAATACCAGATGCCAGTCGGGGCACCCTCGGAGTTTGATTTAGCGAGTCTAAATTAGACTCGCTAAATCAAACTCAGGATGATAGATTGTGGCAGTGTGGCTCTCCCTTTTAGTGAAGATGTGGCCTCGGTATGCTAAGCAGAAAGGTGTTAAACATGGTACGAGAAATCACTTAAAATGAAAAGGGTAGTTAACACCTCTGCAGTCATAAGACAAAAGAGGGTTACTAGGGGTGCGTCTACACAGCAGGGCTTAACTTGAAATAAGCTACGCAAATCAAGCTTCGTTAATTGCGTAGCTTATTTCAAAATAGCTTATTTTGAAATTGGGAGCATCTACACAGCACTTATTTGAAATAGACCACTCTTCTATGAGGATTATAGGAGTTGGAGTAAGCAATCTTCCTCCATCTTGACCATATTTCAACTTTATTTCAAAATAACTACCTGCTGTGTAGACACAGACTAAGTTATTTCGAAATGATGTTGTGTAGACGTACCATAGGACTGCAAATAAGAGATGATGGTATCTGCAGTCTGTATGCAGAAGCGGATCCAGTTGTATCTTGTCTGTTTGGTGTTCCTGAAAGAGCTCTAAGATGGCCACTGATGAGTCATGAGCCTACAGGTTCTTAATTCTCTGGTTAAAGACACAAGAGTAATCTTTCATTTACCCTAGGAATAATGCTACTGCCATCAACAGTTATATCAGTGGTGACTTAGGCTATGTACACACTGGAGCTTATGTCCATATCAGTTATGTCACTCATGGGTGTGAATAAGCCACCCTCCAAGTGCTGTAAGTTACACCAACCTAAGTGCAGGTGTGCACAGCGCTATGTAGGTGGAACAACTTCTTCTGGTGATGCAGCTCTCACTACTCATGGGGGATGGAGTAATCCAGTAAATGGGAGAGCTCAGAGTGTCTTTGCCAATACAGTGTGCTGCTTTAAGCCCTGTAGTAGAGCCATCGCCTAAAAGCCACCACTGATTCAGGTACTGCTGGCTGGGCAGCAACACAAGAAAACTGCAGGGCTGTAAAACTAACCTGGCTCTTTATTAAGAGAATTATTTACAGAGATGTTACAACTGTTGCAAGCTTTTGAGCTGTGTGCACACAGACTGACCTCCTGGAGCCTCTTATAGGGCTGTCCTTACATACACTTATGCAGAATATGCAGCTGCATAGGGCACCATTAACTTTGGGACACCACTAGCTCCAAATTAAATAGTGCCCTAAGCTGTGTATGCCTGGCACTGGCCAAAGGCAGTGTCAGCTCAAGCAGCCCCAATCCCCCTTCCCCCGCCCCGATACATCTCCTGGCCCTAGCAGCCCAATCTCCTGGCCCCTTGGCACCTGCTCCACCTCCTGACCTCTGTGGTTCAATCCCTAGGCCTCCAGTTTTGCCTCCCGGCACCAGTGGTTCAGTCCCCTGACTCCTCAGCTT